TAAATACCAAGTAGAGGAATTGCTGGATCTTAAGGTATCTCTATTTCCAACCTTCTGAGGAAGCGCCATATTTTTTTCAGAGTAGTTGGACCATTTTGCAATCCCACCAACAATGTAGCAGGGTCCCAGTCTATCCACATCCTCGCCAACATTTATTGTCCTCTACTTTTTTGATCTTTGCTGTTATTGCTGGTGTGAGATGATATCTCATTGTTGTTTTTATTTGCATCTGTCTAATGGTTAGTGATCATGAACATTTCTTCATATGTTTGTTGGATGCCCAGATCTCCTCCATGGTGAAGTGTCTATTCATGTCCTGTGTCCATTTTTTAATTGGGTTATTTGTCCTTTTCTTGTAGAGGTGTTGTAGATTCCTATATATTTTGGAAATTAGTCCCTTGTCTGATGTGTCATTGCAAAACATTTTTTTCCCCATTCTGTGGGCTCCATTTTAACTCTTTTGATGAAGTCTTTTGATACACATAAGTCTTTAATTTTTAGTATGTCCCATTGATCTATTTTGTCTGTTTTTGTTTGTGTAAGTTTCAAAATGTTTGGTAGTCTGTGTATGCCCTGTATTATAGTTCTCACATTTCCCCCTATTTTTTCCTTGATGACCTTTGTAATTCTGGGATTCACATTTAGGTCTTTAATCCATGCTGAGTTAGTTTTTGTATAAGGCATTAGGAAAAGGTCTTGTTTCAGTCTTTTGTGTATTGCTTTCCAGTTCTGCTAGCTATTTGTTGAAGAGACCATCTCCTCCCCATGCAATATACTTAGGTACTTTTTAAAAAATCAGTTGGCTGTTTGTGGATAGGTTGATTTCTGGATTCTCAATTTTGTTCCATTGATCAATGTATCTTTCATTATACCAGTACCAGGCTTTTTTGTAGCTGTGTAGTAAATTTTGAAATCGGAGTGAGAGGCTTCCCACCCTTTATTTTAACTTTTCTGATTAATGCCTCTAATTTCTTACAGGGTTGATTCCAACAGCTTGGTACAGACGTGTGGTGCTATCAACAAAGATGGTTTCCAAGCCTCTAGCTGTGAAGTTCTTTTACAGTGGATCTGCAAAAAGATCACACTTTGATGGATAGTCACCTTCTTCTGACCCTCAGATCTTTTTTATGGTACCTTAGAAAGGGAAAGCTATCTATTGAATATTAGGACTACCATGAATATGTATTTAGTGAATGCTGACCTTCCAGGATATAGTTTTAGAGGTAAGATTGATGCAGCCTCCTAGGGACTGATGCTTTACTGTTGACTCTCTTTGAGGCTATTTTGATATTATGTTAATGTTATGGATTGTGTTGTAAATCCTAACCTCTGTGCTTGTGCTTGTAATCCATTTGGGAATGGGTTGATTTTTCTGTATTATTAAGACCAGATTACTGCAGGGTGTATTTTAAGTCAATCTCTTATATAATATAGTAAGAACGTATTAGGACAAGCAAGCAAAGAGAAATGGAGAAAAGAGATGCTGAGTCACATGAAGATAGGCCAAGAGCAGAAGCTAAAAGACACAGTGACCTTCCTTCAGAGCAGACACAGAGAGACAGACTTCCCCTAGAACTGGCACCCTGAATTTGAACTTCTAAACTCCTAAAGTGTGAGAAAATAAATGTCTTTTTGTTAAAGCCACCCACTTGTGATATTTCTTTTATAACAGCAGTGGATGACTAAAACAGTGATTTAAGGATGCAAGCAAATTTGTGAAGTAGGCAAATTTTGTTCTAGTATTTATCAGTCTAGCAACTAGCTAATGCTTCCTCTCTCATCTCTGCCTCTACTGTCTCTATCAAAATGTACCTTTTCTATGATATAGTCTCAGATAATCTGATCAACCCTGCAAGTAAAATTCAAGAGCATTTTTATGTGTACTAAAGGATTAACATGGTAGTTACCCAGATAATAAAGTTTTATTGTTATGCCTTTGTAGGTTAATGCTCATCGTGAGAACATGAACCATGGAAAGTGGGTGAGGACTAGGTGGTGCTTTGTCGTTCTCAGCTCTTCACGCATTCATAAAAACCTTGCCTTGAGAGAATGTAGTTTTCTGACTGTGCATATATGTGGTGTGTGACTGATGGAACCAATGTGTGACCATGTTTTTTCCACATTATGAATATGTGATTTGCATGTTAATTTCACCACAGCTAGAAAAAAGTTTAAAGAAGCAGTTTACATAGTTGGGTTGCCAAATTATTTCAGGGACTGATGCTTCAAAAATGATACAAGCTTTACTGTTTTTTCTTGTGTTTGGACAAAGATAAGGAAGGAAGATAATGTTTGTGGTTCTGGAAGGCCGTAATGGAGGCCACCGTAACCCTGAAGTGCTGATGACATTGGATTATACTCTTTTCATTTGTCTTTCTCTTTAGTAGTTGTTTTTAGTGTATTGATAATATTTTATTAGCACTGTGTCTTAAGCCTCTAATGCAGTAAATTAGATCAGTGATTGGATGACTAAAACCATAAGATGATTTTATTTTTTTTCTAGCTGTTTCAGTCAGCGTAGAAAAGCATATATGCTGATTTTCTGTAATCTGCCACCCCAGCGCCTGTCATGGAGTTGATTCTGACTTATTGTGAAACTCTAAGACAGTGAAGAACTGCCCCACAGGATTTTCAAGGGTGTAATCTTTACAAAAGTAGGCTGTTACATATTTTGCCTGTACAGTATATATGCTGTACAGTGGCTAGTAGGCTTGAAACATAGACCTTTTGGTTAGCAGCTGAGCACTTTACTACTGTGCCACCAGGGGCATGAACATTGAATGGGCAAAAGAGTAGATTTGAAGCCATAGAAGCCTGAGTTAGTTGAAGATAAATCTCTCAATTCTAGTTAAGATAGAGAAACAATCAGGAAAAAGCATGAAAAAATCCGAAGAAAGAGTTTTGTGGGACATGATGAAGAAGAATAACTTACGAGTGGTAGGAAATCAAGAACAGGAAACTGCAATAAAAATCACAGAGAAAATTGTCAGAGTTGCTGGAATAAACTTCCCTAACATCATGAAAGACAAGAAGATAAGCATACAAAAAGCTGATGAATCCCAGACAGGATAGATCCCAAAAGAAAATCATCAAGACATATAATAATCAAACTTTCCAAAACCAAAGACAAAGAAAGTATCCTGAGAGCAGCTCTAGGAAAAACAAAAAGCTATATATAAAGCAGAATCAATAAGGCTAAGCTTTGATTTCTCAGCAGAAACTTTGCAGGCAAGAAGGTAAGGGGATAGCATATACAAACTCTGAAAGGAAAAAAATTATCAATCAAGAATCATGTACCCAACAAAACTGTTCTTCAAATATAACTGCAAAATTAGGATATTTCTAGATAAACAGAAATTAATGGAATTTGTAATAATGAGACCAACTTTACACAAATACTAAAGGGTATTCTTTGGGCTGAGAACCAATGACAGCAGACAACAATTGGAGACTAACATACACGATTACCAACACCACCCAGAACTTAAACCAGATATAGAAGTATTCAAAGTACAACAAGCCTACCAGACCGAAAATAATGAACTAGAGATACCAGTTTGTAAGGAAGTCAGCTACAAAGCAAAAGAGGGAATAATGTAGATACACAACTTCTAAATGGTAAGGAAATCAATTAGATTACAAGATAAAGCACTGTTTTTAAGGGAGAAAATTTTAAATAAATTACAGGGTAACCTCAAAGGAAATACATACATCTTCATATCAAAATATAAAAGGAAAATCAGAAATATGTAGTAGATAGACATGAACAAAACAGAAGTGAAAATGAAAAGAAAAGTCACAGACAAAATGAACTCACTGCAGAAAATTATGGGACAAAGGAAGCAACTGCATTACACACACACACACACACACACACACACACACAAAACCCCCAGCAAAATGACAGCAATCAGTTTACCCTTATTGAGAATTACACTGAATATAAATGATTTAAGTGTACTAGACAGGGTCGCTATGGGTCGGACCCGACTCGATGGCACTTAACAACAACAACAACAAGACAGAAGACAGAGAGAGCAGAATGGATAAGAAAACAGGATCCTTCAATATGCTGTCTACAAGAGACATCTCAGGAAGATGGAGACAGCCCAAGTGCCCATCAACAGAAGAAAGGTTAAATATACTTGGGTACATACACATAATGGAATATTATGCAGCACTGAAGAATCATGATGAATCTGTGGAACACCTCACAACATGGGTCAATCTGGAGGACGTTATGCTGAGTGAAATTGATCAATCACAAAAGGGCAAATATTGTATGAGGCCAATGTAAAAATTAAGAAAAGTTTTTCTTGATAAAAGAAACAATCTATGATGGCTATGCAGGGCAGCAGGGAGGGAAAATTACTCATGGGCTAGAGGGTAGACACATGGGCAGGCAATATTCAGCAAGAGGGAGGTTAGTAGAGGAAAGATGAAGGTAGCAGGAGACACAAAGAGGAATGCAATAGCTGAGAACAGAGGTAAATACTATTAACTGTTGGTACTTGGAGGAGCTTGCAATTATTGTAATAAAGCAAAGTATATGATTTGTTGACTGTAAAACTCATGATCTGCTCTATAAACCTTCACTTAATTCACATTAAAATGTTGAAAAAAATCATTGTTGATTTTGTAAAAATGGTAGCATGTTCATCCTAAAGTAAATTGTTAAAAGGATTAAAGTACAAAAAGAAAAGAAAAAACATTTAAGTCTTGCTATGATACCATTAGGTGAAAACCATTTTAGACAGCTTTGTATGCATCACAGCTAAAAGGATAGATGCCCCCTCCTTCTTGGGTTATGGAGTTGCTCTGAGGAGTAAATAAGTTACTGCATAGAAAGCATAGAGTTAATACAAGTGCGTGAAATATGTTGTAGTTAGTTGCTGTTGAGTTGGCTGCCGCTCCTGGTAACAGAAGGGATCTTGGCACCAGCTGCACACTATTTGAGTCCATTATTGCAGCCACTGTATCAGTTCATCTCATGGAATATTTTCTTTATTTTTTGCTGATCCTCTTCTTTACCAAAATGAGGTCCTTTTCTAGAAATTGGTCTTTCCAAATTATACAAGATGAAGATTTGCCATCCTCCTTCTAAGGAGCATTCTGACTGTACTTCCTCCAAGAAATATTTCTTTCTTCTTCTGGCAGTCCACAGTATATTCAGTATTCTTTACCAACATTATAATTCAAATATACCAATATAAATATCATTCACAGTAGTGTAGGGTATGTGAAAATTGGACAATGAGTAAGGAAGATCATAGAAGAATTGATGCATTTGAGTTATGGTGTTAGAGAAGAATATTAAAAGTACCACAGACCACCAGAAGAACAAATAAATCTGTGTTGGAAGAAGTACAGCCAGAATCCTCCTTAGACTCTAGGATAGTAAGACTTCATCTCTCATACATTGGACATGTTGTCAGGAGGGACAAGTCCCTAAAGAAGGACATCTCATGCTTGGTAAAGTAGAGGGTCAGTGAAAAAGAGGAAGACCCAATGAGACACCATGGCTGTAGCAATGGACTTGTGAAGATGCTGCAGGACTGGGCATTTCCTTCTGTTGTACATAGGATTACAATGAGTTGGACTCAACTTGATGACACTTAACAACAACAACAAATAGTAGTAGGGAGCTACAAAGGAGCAGGTACAATTCTATAGCTGTAATTTCAATGTGTTTCTGTTGTTATTTTCCTGTTTTTTCATCTTTCTCTAGTCGAATTCTGATCATCAAACCATTGAGGATAGGTTGAATGGGTACACACTACAAGTTTGGATGTTGTTGTGTCACAAGGTTTTAAAACCCCAGACACTATGTCATCAAACTAGGATGTAGAACATTATCTTTATGAGCTATGTTATGCCAATTGACTGAGTTGACTCCTGAGACTGTGGTATTGTGAGTGGTGATTTAAACGAACTAAGATAATATCATGTAAAACATTATGTTTTGATTATAATTATGTTGCTTTTGTTGTTGTTGTTGTTAGGTGCCATTGAGTCGGTACCAACCCATAGCGACCTTATGCACAGCAGAAGGAAACATTGTCCAATCCTGGGCCAACCTCACTACTGTTG